AGGTGACTGAATAAATTTTTCGTTTGTACAGTAACTTACTGTGGCCTGGTCTCTGTATAAAGTCATTATTGTTATCCTTCCAGACAAGCCTGCTTGTAGTTTTCCGATCCCGGAGGTATGGGCTTAGTCTTGCCGCAGCGCTGAGTTGATCAACAACCCTGTGCATCGCAGACATCACTTAGACATGCAAGCTATCGCGCTGCACACACCTTGATATCAGGCAACATTGTTTAAACTCAGTTATTATCTCGTTTTTCACAGTGATATCTGTCTCTGCTTTCATGATATAGTGTTTCACTGAGCGTTACTGTCACAAAGTCTTTTTTCAACGCCGTTGAAGCAATTAAGCTTAATACATAATAATAATAATGGCCAATCCTCCCAACGGTTTACCGCCTCATCGTGGCTGGGGTGTTCCTGTGTGTCGGACTGCGATGTACAGCCAGGAGATTCGTCTCCCGGCAAGGTCTCCCAAGCTGAGAAGGAGTCCGGCGTTTCCATCAGGAAGTCCAGCTAATAGTAAACCACTACCAGGATCACCACCCACCGTCGAGGTATGAAACAAGTCTCATGGTGGCAAATCTCCATCTGATCCGCGAGGGCTGAGTCTGCCCATGATGGTGAAGACCTAGGGCAGACTTTGGCCAGGCTGACCTCGAGATTCCAGGGAACCACAATTGCTTAACCAGCAAATCTCCGAAGAATGGTGATTATGTTGGGGCCTACTCAACGAGTGATGAGGAGCCGTTCAAGTATCAAGTATCAAGTAATCATAGTCAATAGCCGCGGTCTTGGTGGGCTTTGTGTGCAGGATGTTTTTCCAACGTTCTCTTCAAGGCCAGCGTTCGAACGTCAGATGTTTAATGATACCAAGATGGTGCACGATATAGATAAAGATTCCGGTTTCTGTCACTTTTGAAGGTAGTTTGAAATGAAATCGAACGAACTTCCTTCGTTTTTGTTGTACAGTCATGAATTTCATGTGAGCAACGAGTCCATATTCCAGACTCAAAGGTTCGGTGCCTAACAAACAAGCCTAATATTTATCAGCACAATGTAAAACACGTTTAAGCTCCGTAATGTCAGTATCATAGTACCGTAAGCACCAGCAGAATATGGTGATGGGAATTTACTTAGTGTCTTGTTTTTTTAAATTCTAGGTTTCCAGAGAGAATATGCTTATCTTCTTGTATTACGTTTACACTTGCGCTGTCCTTTCCGCATACGAAACATCGTTTGGTATTTTTGATTGAGAAGGCATGAAGACATTATATCAGTGCACAATTTAATGAAAATAAAACTCGACGAGGACTTTTGAAGCCTCATCATAGAGGGAAAGCCATTAAACGCAGGGTTATATTATAACCTTACCCAAGAGAAAAGCCAGGAGACATAGACGCAGCTAACGTGTTTTTGAGCAAAATGTTCATGTGTTATATTCCAGAACATCTCTGTCATCATATTTGTTAGTCATCGATCGTAGCTGTTGTTCGCTTCTGTTGTCGCTCATCTTTAAGAACCATTTTTATCTTACTTTTACTTTTGACGGTGGTCTGGCGAACAGGGATTGGAATACCTCGAATTAGGTGACTTAATAGCTTCATTTTTACCTAAATAAAGTTGGATAATCCAGATATTGAAAGCAGCTGCATGTTTTTCTACTTGGGTTTGGTGCATTACGACATAGTGTCTATAACTAAAAATAACCGAGCAATGTGTCTGTTCTTTGCTTTGGTCGCTTGTCAAGCGTCAAACCGGAATTGGACTGTCTTGTTGAAGGTAACAAATTTATATCAAAACAGGTCAGTACTGTGTATTGAATAGTTACTTGCGCAATACCTCAAACATCTCCCGCATGCATTGCATCCAACACATTCGCTGTGATGCCGATTTTACGAAAACTAGCGATTTGAGAACTATGCAGAATTACAGAAGAACTTCGTTTTATCTCTTTGGAGGGTACAAATAACCTTCGAACAGTGCTGTTTTGGTTTAAGATTGTTTAGATCTAACATTCCTGAAATATTGAGCACAAAATTTAAGTACTAAAACTTCCCACGCAAATGCGACATTCGCGAAAACCATTGTAACACGGAGGAACAGCACCTTGAATTTGAAACCCAAGCTTTCACTTTAAAAAGTTAGAAAACATGTTTCGTGAACTCCAGAAAATAGGATTTTGTTTTCGTGGAAGAATGAGAAGACTTGAAAATTGTTAACAAAGATCCCTATGTTTTATTTGTTCCTGTGTAAATGAGTAAAGTTTCATATGAAGTGAGATATGTTGCCTTGAATTTTAAAACGGTCATTCTTTTCGGACCATATGACTTCATACGAGGTCGCCTTGTCATGTGTGTTTATGGAACATTGAATGGTACCAGGAGGTTTGTCCAGTGTTTATCTATAGATGATTTACTCGTTTTGCCAAATATCGCTGACACTTGAACGGCGTTAGCTCTGTATTGCACAGACGAAAATAGATTGCTTTAGAATACACAGGTCGAGTTCGGGAGACGCTTGTAAAGATTTTCTTTCGAACCTTCGATCATCCATTTATTTCTCTTTCAATTGTTCGCGCACAAATCTTCTACATCTGTTTTAACACTTTTTTTTCCCAAGTTTAATGTTTTTCCAAGTCGATTTCAACACGAATACTCTTTCGTGTGCAAACATATTTAATACAGAAAGTACAAAAGAAGTACAAGAAAAAAGTAGGGTACAAAGTACTCAAAGAGATTTAACTTATTACTTTCTGCCTACGCTTTTTAATGGCAGGTATGTTGCGAAATATAACTTCAATGATGCTGAGATATTTGCAAAACTCTGGACCGCAGGTGTATGCAGTGGGGAACGAACGCGCTATTGTCCTTTCCGGGGAGTAAGGCAGAAAGTAATAAGTTAAAATTTTGGCTATAACTACGCCCTCAGCTTAACTGGGTTCGTTGCCGATATACACCTGCGGTCCGGAGTTTTGCAAATATCTCAGCATCATCAAAGAGATTTAGTACAAATTCGCAGAACTAGAACGCAATCCTCAACGAACAATCGGTTCTTTTTTTGATTTTTGAAGGTTGCCTTTTCAAATTTGCTTGCTTATATGACAAAAGATAGTTGGGGTTTCCCCCAGACCATCAATGTCGTATAGACGATTTGGATATAGGTTTGTTATCCATCAAGTTTCTGCTATGGTCAAAACATGCGTCATGTTATTTTGCTAAAGCCAGGATTATAAATAATGAGGATAGAGCTATTGGCGTTGATCAATTCCTGAGGGATGCGCCATCCATCCGACTTCATCAAAAATCGTCAGATGTGATTGAATGCGCATCTGGCCTATATACTGACTCGTGATGGCCTACCGATGCATTATGTCACTGCTGCTGTCCTCACAGACAAGTCTGTTACCATTTTGCCTGTTCCAGAGCGATGGTATGTTTGGTTAGTCTGGGGCTTGAGGATCGATCCCATGTGTATTTCAGGCCGCCTGTAATCACTACGCTACTTGCGACCGTAGGGGCAGAATTACGCAGATAAATTCGCTCTGTGGTCGTTGCGACCATTGGTCTACCAGGGAAATTTTTGGTATTGGTATGCTTCTAAAAGAGGTTATGCAGAGTGAATTTGACTGTTCACGAATGTCATTTCTTCCTTAAAGTTGTTCGAAATTAAATTTTTTATCAAACTGGGAAAGATCAACAATTCAGGGATATCATCATATTCTAATGGACGACATACCTGTCACAGACAATTGGCAACACTCATGAGTAGCTTGTGGGCTATCAGTGTACGTAAGGCTTCTTTATGGGATGAAATACGATTTTCGCTTCCTTCATCTACTGGCTGTCTATCACATGCTTGGTGCGAAGATTATGACCGAATCGACAAACGCTAAAATAGAGGACGAATGAAAAATGGAGTGCCATTCGTCCATGCGCAATCATCAAGCAGAGCTTTCACACGAGATGAAAGTGATTGAAGAGTGTGCTGGTATCATTTGGAGTTTTGTATCCTGCAATGATAAATTGTGAATGTCTCGAGTCTACAAATCATTTTTTTTCGCTATGTTTCTCGTTGAAGGTTGTATTTCATGCAGCCAAGTGACTGAATACATGCTGGATTTCGCCAAGGACGTGGTGATGTACTGGATGCAATTAGTTCGATTTTTGAAATTTTGAATTATTAGCGGATTCAAGCTCTGCACAGTGGTCGGCCGCCCCCTACTCCACACAGGTGGAATCGATCTCCGCACCCATGGCCCACCCAGCCTTCCATCCCTCCGGGGTGGGCATATTGGTACCAGACTTGTCTGGGAGAATAGTAGCACTGGCTCGATACATCGGTAAGCCACCGCGAGTTATTGTAAAGGCCAGATATGCATTCAATCGCCTCCAACGATGCTTAATGAAGTTATATGCATGGCGCATCCCTCAGGGATTTATCAACCCTGAGAGCTTTATCCTTTTATTTGCAACAGATTCAAAATAGTAGTGTTTTACATGGATCAAATGTACTTTTACAGCGATAAGGCAAAGTCTGATCTATGTGTCTGTGAAGTTCCCAGCTCTAATATCGAGTTATCGAAAAGTTATCTAGAGTTGTTAAAGAATACGAGCCATCACGAATGTGCTGATGGTACTACAGTTGATACAGGTGATGAACTGACATAACAACTGCAATACTCGTTTTCTGTCTTCAGAAAGCACTTATTAATTAGATTTGTGGAAGTCTGCTGACCAGGATTTTCATAAAGTTCGTATCAGATCGCTAAATGTGAGTGTTATATTTCAAGACCCAAAGGTTCCTGTCTACACGTTGTACTGTTGACCATATGGGAACGATGACTGCTGAGCTACGTTTACTACATTTTCTGTGCACAGCAAAATGATATTTGCAATTTTCCATGTAGGCGGCGAACAAAAAAGCACGTATACGTCAATGAAGTTGAACATAGATCCGATAAGGGTCGAGAATTGTAGTATTCCTTGCACAGCTTCTGGTTTATGAACAACTTCTATATTTGCTGTTTCAGTGAAGCGCGAAAGTATCTAGAATTCTACAACTTAACAGTGTTCCCACGACGAGCGTTTGTTATATTCCTAGCGAAAGATGGTGGTGACATCCTTCGCCTTGACCATCTGGATGAGGTTAGTTGTTCTAACGCTTCAACCTTTCTGTTAATGATGCTACGATATCAGTAAATGCAATAATCACGAACTTCCGTTTCGAGGAATGAAACAGGAGACGTGGCGGTTTCATTGGACCGTCCGCCAGAAATCATTGGGAATTTCGACATCTCACTGCATTCCTCTTTCAAATTTTACTCCAACATTTTTTATTGGTTCGATTAAATTACTCATCGCATATCTTTTCGGCTGTTCATGTTTCGTTTCTCAAAGTTAGGGCGGTGAAGGTGAAGACAACAAGGGTTATGCGAGAAAACCAAATTATAGATGGATAGCGCGCACATGCGTTCTTTGTTAGATCTCTCTGAACAAAAATTGAAAAAGAAGAAAGTGAAAGTTGTATTGATGTTGTTAAGATCCACAGTAAGCAGCTTAATAAAACATGGGAAATTTTCAGGTGATTCGGTTTGACAGTTTGATTACGGCAGCATTGGCAGATCGGACACCGTCGGAACAAGGAAGTTGTGATCCGCTTTGCGACCTCAATCGTCCGTTCCATCTGATAACGGTGAGCCTAGAATGCTGACAAACCCGGGAAAAGAACAGCTGTCACAGTCAATTTCGTAAAACGGCAGTTATCGTATAACAATTATTTTACAATATTTCACACAGGCTTTCACAGTTCCTATGAAAATAATCTTGCTTGCAACCACCTGGTAGGCAGTCATTTTTCACATGCAGCCCCCTGGTCGTAATCTCACACAAATCCGTCGCTCGCATTCGCGTTCCATTCACTATCGAAACTGGAAAAGTCGAGCAACAAATACAGACTGTATACGATTTGTAGGGACAAATATGAGTGTTTCATGGGAAAGAAGGATCCCTAGAAAGAATGAAGGGTGTAAAAAAGTTCCGAGCGAGGGAACTACATGACATTAACAGGTTTTCCACGGTGCCCAATTTTAAGTTTGCTGCGGAGTGGGCGACGCCTAATTTTTCGATGTGCTCACTGTGACACTTACAGGTGTCGGTCGTGCCCGCCACTCCCGCAATTTCGTTATGACACCTATAGAGGTCACAGGGCGTGAAAGTGTTAACTATAAATATTTTGTATTTTTTCGTGCAGATAAATATGTGGGTACTTAATTTAAACTGATTTACTTGTTTTATTGTTGCCTATTTCTCTCAGAAGGAGCTGCGTTCTAACAACTCGGGAACTGATAACAAGCTAGGTTATCCAGAAAGCTCGTTCCGCGGCACAACGGTGTTCATTGGCATGCATTTTTTCGGAGCGAGCGTCGTGCCAGGTACCTAATTTTGTATCATGGCAAACTTGTTAAGTACTTCAATAAAACGTGCTGTAGAAATCTCTACATTTTTTTTCTTATAAATCGCTTAACAAGCAGTGACTTAATCCTTAATAAGGGCGGACTCATTATTGCTAAACTCCCACCTCCTTAGAGATATTGAATTCATTCTTGGTTTGAGAATCCTGGGAGGATTGAACTCAAGGTGTTGTGTATCTGGTTTATCTTGGAAGTTCGTTATAACTGTGAAGATGTAGGCCTCCGGTGAAATAACACGTTGAAGGGGATGACTTCATGCTGTCAATGAAACAAGTTAAAAATGCTATCCATACGATAGGAAGGCAACCTCCTTTACACCAGGTGTACACCCACCCAATGATCACTCCAACTTCCATCACTGTTGATCCGATCATATCCTTGTTTGGTCAAAGGTTCGCTTTGAGGTGATCAGCAAGTGTTGTCATTGCTTGAGAAACTAGGACGAACCTCTGCCATGAGACAGTTGTCAACGTGCTAGTAGCCAAATCAGAGTGATTGATCGATGAACATTAGAAGGACATTTCCAAATGTATGTATGAAGTGCTTTTATTGTAAAAAACATTGGCCCGTCTAATTAGATCCTCCTGCGTTTCAGAAGGCGTGGCGTAATGTTTCTAAGTTATTCATTTCGTCCACAGTGCAGAACTAGACAAATTCTAGTATTCGAGGAATTCCATCTAAAATTCACCGGCAGAAGTTCATGTTGATATCTCACAGGACTGGCAGTATATCAGGGACTAGTCGTATTCCGGACCTTCCACCATTATAAGTGATTTTCTTCGGTTAGTTGACTAGTCTCGACATTCCTTGCCGTCACAGAATCGTTTGATGAAATTCTGGTCTCCGAGTTGAGTTCTATACAGGAATTAACTTCCTTTTTTTGCGTAGAAAGGGTAAAAAGCCACAATTTCCCATAAACAAAATTCCAAATCCAGAACCACATTGGGACTTGTCCACATCTGCTATTAATTTTTAAGAAGACCACATCGATTGTAAACGCAGCCGGTTCAAGAAACTCCTTTACTGCTATGCCAAAGGTGAGAATTTGAAAGCTGGCTATCAGCAATCAGTCGACACTGTTCACAGCAAGCTGAAAGTTCAATCTTCAGCTTTTGATTTTTGTATTATCTCTGTGAACGAAATATATAGTGCTGCAGAATGTACCTTAACAGTGAAGGATAAAAAGGTAAAGTTCTCGGTGTTGATCAATCGTTGAGGAACGCGCTGTGCATTTGGCTTCATTAAACATCGTTGGAGTTGACTGAATGCATATCCGGCCTTTACAGTGACTCACGGTGGTCTACCGATATATCGAGCCACTGCAGCAATCCTCTTAGGCAAGTCTATTACCAATTTACCGACTCTGGAGGCGTGGAAGACTTAGTTAACCTCGGGATCGAACCCACGTCTATTGCAGGGCTCCACTAACCACTGCGCTACACGCGCCCTTAACAATAAGACGTTTACATTAATTGTATCTCATAAAGAGCGAGACTAATAATCGTGGGACAGGTTTATTTATCTAACAGCAAACCAAGTGCAGTCGCTTGATTTTTAAGATCCCTCCGTATACCTCGATCGAAGTCTTCATCGTTTTTTTAAACGTATCAACTCATTTGCGATCGCACCGTCCAGTGCTTGCAATGCTTTCCTCAGAGACGAGTTTAACTCCTTAAATGACTAGTTTCTATATTAAGTATTGAGTATGCTATGCTAAGAAGATAGACATCCGAACGACCGTGAAACATTGACTGGGATCATCGGCTCTGGGAAGACGAGGACGTTGAATCGCTAACCGAATAAAAGTTCTGCAATATCCTTGTGTAAGCTGAACGACTTAAACAGATTTGTTGACTATTCACGCCGAGGTTAAGTGAAAGTCGGTTTAGTTAATTATTATTATTATTATTCCACTGTATGCTAGCCCCTCTAAACGGTTTACCGCCTCATCGTGGCTGGGAGGTGTGCCTTGGGTCGGGTTGCGATGTACAGCGGGGAGATTCATTCCCCAACAGAGCTTCGCAAACTGAGAAGGAGTCCGGTATTTCCGTCAGGTCAGGAAGCTCTGCTAAGAGTAAACCAATGTCAGGATCCACCACCATCCTGGCTTCAAACAAGTCGCATGGTGGCAAATCTTCATCTGATCCACAAGGGCAGCGATTGCCTGTGATGGTGATGACCTGGGACGAGCTTTCGCTAGGCTGACCTCGGAACTCCAGGGAACCACATTAGCTAAACCAGTAACACTCCGAAAAGTGGAATTTATGCTGGGTCCCGCACAACCAGTGAGGGCGGGCCATCCAAGTATCCAAGTGTATGCTAGCTGCTCTAATATCGACTACTGCAGGATGTTTTATTGAGATGAAAAGAAATCCTTGTCAGTCAACAATCGGTCAACAACCGTTCTATGTAAAAGAGCACCGCCGTATGGGATTGTCTCATTCGAGCGGTGCTCCACTGAGGAATATACGATTCGATACGACAACGAAGACTCCATATCGAGAGTACGAACGGTTGTGGACTATTGACTTGGATCACCTTCTCTGAGGAAGACGAAAACGTCGAAGGCTTAACCGAATAAAACTTATATAACAACGTCGTGTAAGTTGAACAATGTAAACAAATTTATTGATTATTAACGCTGAGGTGAAGTGAAAGTCTGTTTATTAATAGTTCCCAGGATCGACTTCCTGTTAACCTCGGCATTGGAATATGAATGCGTCGTTTTCTTGTTCAGCAATCGCGAGGTTTTCGTAAACAGCATACATTTACTTCCGTAGAAAAACACAATAGAATACAACGCTAGCTGACGTTTCGGCAGTATCGTCTTCTTCAGAGCCTGGAAGGGCATACTGATATACAATCTACTAGGCCAAACGCTTCAATAACACTTACAAAAAGACGAAAAACTCTTTGGTAATTACATGATCAACAACTTCTCGAAAAACCACATCAGGAAAAGAAATCACATCAGGAACCACACCTAGATGGCAAACGAAAACTAAGACGAAGCACCCCACTAAGCACGCATAGGATACAAAAGCACAGCGGAGGCGATTTTGAAGTAAAAGTCAATATCCTTGCACAGGAGTCTAAAACACCAGCGCGAAAACTTCTTGAGGCTTTTTGGATCAATGCCAAAAACCCTACAATGAATAGCAGGGACGAATGCCCGGAAGTCATACGCGATCTGATCCCGTACGTTCGCATCAATTTCTGATGTGGGATGGTGCAGTCGTCAACCACATGCGACTATAATCAGCTGTTCTAAACTTCCTCATTGGAAGTCACGAAAAAGCGGTGGGTTTTTTGAGAAGTTGTTGATCGTGTAATTACCAAGGAGTTTTTCGTCTTTTTGTAAATGGTATTGAAGCGTTTGGTCTAGCTGACTGTATATCAGCATACCCCTCCAGGCTCTGAAGAAGGCGATACTGTCGAAACGTCAGCTAGTGTTGTATTGTATTGTGTTTTTCTATAAAAGTAAATGTATGCTGTTTAAAAACCTCGCGATTGCTGAACAAGAAAACGACACATTCATATTCCAATGCCGAGGTTAATAGAAAGTTGACCCTGGGAACTACCGTTGTTTTCTTAATTTTTGGTAAAAGCGTTTGTCATCGTGCAGCCATAGAAATAACTAACATGCGAAACATTGTATGAAATTGATTGATGCCATCTGAACAGTTGAGATCTGGTATACTCGCCAACTGTAAGTAGTGAAGCTGGATACTCAATGTGATGCACGTGATATGCAAGCTAAAGTCTTTTTCTTATGGAAGTTTTCATTGAATGGTTTAGATTCCGACCATACTAATCACAATATACGTGGTATTACTATTTACTTTAACGCACTTCTTTCAGGTACTAATAAGCTTCGGGCAAAATCCATTATATTATGGTACTTTTCACGCGTAGACACTCCAGAGAGGAAACAGACATACAAGGTTAGTTTCAACTAACCTTCGCACTTTGGTGGTAAGGAATGGGTAACTGTAGCAACACTTTCAATCATTGTCACCATCCGTCCAGCGGACGCCAACCAGTTTATCACATTTCATGGAAGTTATTGTCGGTACTGTGTTTAAATGCAGTAATTTATATATGACCGCCATCATTCAAATTACATCCCTCATCGAGGCGTTCTTCCCATGCGTAATCTTCAATGACCAGTTTTTGACAGAGGTTGATTTACGAAAGCGTTTCCCTTCAAGAAGACACTCTATTTTATGTTTAGCAACTAAGTGTGTTATAACTCCATGTCGGTTATTAATCCTACGATGTGACGAACGGTATTTTTAATTCGTTTGAGGACACGACGTTGAATTTGTTCCGTGTCAGTACTGAGGGCTCATTCTCCAATCTCATCGATTTCCATATATTTGGTGATGAAATCGCCAACTCTGAAATGGTGCGAGGCGCTCTTGAAGTGAGTTATCCTTCTCATTTTTGAAGAGTAATGAAATCCGGTTCACAGCGAATTTGCTTAAGGAAGCGAATAATGATTCATCGTAAAGTTTGTAATTTTGGTCTTCTATGGTGTAGACTAAAAGGACGGATAGCACATTGGTAGTGATGTCCCTCATCACAGGCATGGTGCTAGTTCGATTCCGCTCCGGGCCAACCAAGCCTCTCATTCCTGCGAGGTCGGCAAATTGCTACCAAACTTGTCTGGGAAAAAATCACTCTCTGCCCAATTGGGAACGCTCCACCCTGGCTATCTCAGGACTCCAGAGAGAATTGCTCGACCAGCATTCTACGACATTCAGGATGATATGAAAATCGTCAATCAGTAACCGACCTCATTGACAATGGATGCGAAGAAACGAATCGAATAAGAGAAGTGCTGGGATCCGCACAGTAGACGTGAAGATGGGTCTTGTGAAATAAAATAAAAGAAATAAAGATAAAATGGTCTAGACTACTTGATTTCATCACTATTAGTCATTCCATTTCTATTTGTTTACATAAAATAAGAAAACTAAATGCTAAACGATTTTTTTAAAGAATGATAACTTCGACTTATAACATCGAAATCGATGTTCGTTTTCGGATTTGTCCACAAACTGTTTTCTTTGGTTTCTTCGCTGAAATTTCCTCAAGTTTTTACTCTTTCATTCTCCATAGTTTTCTAAAGTGGTGAGAACATTAAACACACGGTAAAGTATTGCTCAGAGCAATACTTATAGTCATATGAGGAAGTGAGGTGATGAAGTGTCTAGTGAGGTAAAGGAACCACTATGAGAAAGTGAAAAAGATTAGTCCCATTGGAGGCGACATTTCTGATGTCAATCGGCTTCATATTTCTGCTTGTCTTTGTGATTGCCGTGATCTGGAGGCAAACTACATTACGCGTCACTCCATTCTTAGGTTGGTGAATTCACTCTATGGCTGTACTATGTTTGTAGTTTCTGTCAACGGTTTTGCGTCGTTTAGTGGCGATCACTTTGATCACTCCTTTCCTGGCCACCGTAGCGGCTTTCGGTTTGCTGTCATGGATGCAGTATCCAATCTATTCGATGCAGTGTGTCACTCCATTCCTCGTTTTGGGAATCGGTCAGGTTGTTTGTTTGAGAAAGCCATTAGAGAATACATTTTGGTTATACTTGAGGTCTTGCGAATATTAAAGATTCTGATGTGCTCCCCAGATCAGTCCCATTGACGGGTGATTGCTGATAGCACCACTAGATAGGAAGCTAGCTGTGAGAGAAGCGAAACTAAGGATCTGCGTGATGTGGTGGTGACCGCGTTATCTCCGAGGAGAGTAATTACGTGTTCGTTCCCCAGCACATGCACATGCGGTCTGGAGTTTTACAAATATCTGAGCATTATTGCGGTTGCATTTCATACAACACCCTTCCGCGAAAAATTATAGTGGGCAGTTAGTGAAAAGTTAACATTAAAGATCTTGTTCTTTGGAATGTTAGGTCTACACGAGGTTGTTACAATACTTTGTCCCGTTAGCCAGTAAGGCAAACAATCTAAAGGAATATATTGGCTATTAATACCGAAATTAGGTGAAAAGTCAGTTAGCAAAACTAAGAAAGATACCTTTAGTTATATTAACCCATTCGTGACGACGCCGTTTTATGAGGCTGTGCCAGTAGAATACGAACAATTTTTCTTCGGTTGTGGACTTCCTGGTTTTTTCGCCGGCAATGAACATGAAACGATTGTAGAAGGCCTTTGCACTGTTGTTCTATGGTATGAATGGTAAAGGATAAAAAGGATAAAGCTCTCAGCGTTGATCAATTCCTGAGGGTGCTCCATGCATTCGAATTCATCAAGCATCGTTTGGAGGTGATTGAATGCATACGGCGTTTACAAAGACTCGCGGTGGCCTGCCGTTGTATTGAGCCAGTGCTACTATCCTGCCAGACAAGTCTGGTGCCAATTTGTCGACTTCGGAGGGATCGAAGGCTTGATGGGCCTTGGACACTGTGATCGATCCCATGTGCGTTGCAGGGTGCCTCCGACCACTGTACCGCACGTTCCTATGGGTAGAATGCCAATTTGTACTATATGTCACTATATTCCATTATGCAAGTACATTGCTGTCAGCACTTGGAAGTATTTTGCACTTTATTTTGAGTCTATTGTGATGTTATTATGTCCTCAAATTCCAGTGACCATCGTGCCTAAAATGAAATAACAGTTATTTAATAGTGAAACTACCCCGCAGTGAACTTTTTCAAAAAAAACTTTCCTGTATATCATTGAGTGTAGAGAGTGGCTTTTCCAACGGTTCAACCCATCCTATTTCGATCTGCTTTCAATTAGCTGTAGAAAGAATATACATAGTGCGATGAAGAAATTCTGGAGCGCACTAGATTGAAAATGCACAGTGTCCAAGTTGTCACGAATGGGTTAAAACGATGTGGTAGTAAGTGTGAGGATGTCGACATTACAGGGCGAGCTAGGGTATGATTAAACTCTACATACACAAGGACGTATCTTGTGCTAGTCATCTATAACTACTAGCGTTTCTTTTTTTTTTAGTAAAATTGATCAGGTTCAGGTGTTGACGATTCGTTTATACTAATCCATCGCTGGAAGCATCGTTCGGATATTCCAGATCATTCATTACGACTTACTAAGGTAAGACGTGTTCATAGATAACAGTTCATTTGAAGAGAAATTGTGGAATTTTACAAACAAAAGGAAAGAAGGGGAAATGGGCAAGTCATTACCATCTTACTAATATTGGCAGTTAATTGAATGATTTAAAAGACATTGTCGATGTACCTAGTCAGAACTTCCAAATCGTTCTAATAGTAAGAAACATTAGTGAGATATTATTACATACAATAGCATGTAATGATTATAATTTAATAATTAATTAATGCAGCCACAATGATGCTGAGATCTTTGCAAAACATGGATCGCAGGCCAGGTCGAACTGGACAGTAGATGGAAGTTATAAATTGTGATTTCGACTACAGCCTCAGCTTAACCGGGTTCGATGCCGATTTATGCTCCTCAGTTCATTCCCGTTGACGGGTAATTGCTGACGGCACCGTTAGAGTAAAAAAACTGGCTGACCGAAATGCAAAGCGAAGGCCTCAGTGGTGCCGTGCGTAACCCATGAGCCCATAGAAGAGGTAACTGCGATGCAATCTGACCTGGGGTCCACGTTTTGCAAGTACGTCAGTATCATTTGATTGTACTTCACACAATACCTTGCATGAAAAAATAATGGGCAGTAGAAAAAGCTACACATTGTTAATTAGAGTAAGGACGAGCTTCATTTTTTTCATTGAGCAATTTCATAAGAAGGAAAATACTGCAAAAAAAACGTGTAAAAATTCTATAGGGTTCGGCAAAGAAGTTTCTTCGTTAATTACTATATAGGTTATTGTTGATGTTGGCCCATCGATCACCATCACCTCACTCACGAATATCATTGCATTCGGCATTGGGTTCTTCACACCCACACCTCAGGTATTCTTTTCTTTATGTTGTAATACTTTTTAGAGAGATCCGGATGCTGCAATAGTTAGAGATGCCATGCAATAAGGCCCTACACCAACTAGCTTGGGCCACCCTGAGTTGACCAAGTCGCCATCTCTGCATAGCTGGTAAATTAGCACCAGCTGAGAAAAGCTTCCTCCAATTCGAAAAGGCCACGGTCTATCTGTGGTAAGGGATCGGGAACGCAAATAACAGAGTTATCTCAAGATTCCTGGTAGAGTTAATTTTGAAAGCCTTCAATGGTACTTGAAAACAGAAAAGAAAACAGGGTCCTCAAATAGCAGCCGAGCTTTCAGCTTTTTTTTGTTTTTATGGCTTGACTTCACATATTGCACAGTTGTGCGGATTCTAGCATTTCTTTCATTCGGATCATTGTCTTACATCCATCATCCACTGAGGTCTTTGGACTGGCACTTGGGTTCGGTTGCCGTCTGAGGATTTTGTCTTTTTCCTGAATGTTGTTGAATGCCTCCCAACGGTTTACCGTCTCATCGTGGTTGGGAGGCGTTCTTAGGTGTTAGACTGCGATGTACAGCGGAGGGATTCGTTCTTCCGGCAGGGTCTCCCAAGCTGAGAAGGAGTCGGGCGTTTCCATCAGGAAGCCTAGCTGAGAGTGAAGCAATACCAGGACCCGCCACCATCCTGGTATCAAACTGGTCGCATGGTGGCAAATCTCCCTCCGATGCAAGGGGGCGACTGTCTGTGGCGGTGACGATCTGAGGCAGACTTCGCCCTCTGGCTGACCTCGGGACTCCAGGGTACCACAATAGCTAAACTAGCAAAACTCCGAAGAAATGGAGATTATGCTGGGGCCCACACAGCCAGTGAGAACGGGCCATCCAAATGTCGAAGCAGATAAGTTGTTGATTGCTGGTAAAGTACGATTCCTACTGGAGCGAGCTTTTCACAGGCATGACCACGTTGCCACGGTACGACGCTTGTTGACTCCTTTAGGGTGGAAACGGACTTTGTGTGCATCACATAACATCTTTAACTGTTGGTCTATTCAAATTAACTATTGGTCTATTGCTATTGCATTGGACACGTTAATACCTGCAAATTTCGTTTTTAAGTCTTTTGAAAATCTTGATTCTAGTCAGAAATCTGGAAGGACCCTGTTTAAAATCTACAAATGAGGTTAATACGATAGAGCAGAGTCTCTTCAACGAATCGCCAGTTCCTGAAACACCAGCTTCGTCGCGAAAATGTTAATATTTGGGAGAAGGAACGGGAAAAATACAACGACTAAAGAAATTCCCAATAAAATAATTTGGTTCACATAAATAAATTCAGTTCTTTTAACATCTTCTCGACGATACACATTCCAATGCATGTGAGCCCAAAAGTCAGTGCATTTCTCAATTTTAAACAAATGTACCGGACTTTATTAGTTGAAATAAGAACGATTATAAGCTACAGATTTACCTCCAAATAAGAGTTTTATGTAGTTGACACCGATAAAATTCCGATAATTTTTTCCCGCCGCAAGTCGTATCGTTTAGGTAAAGAAATCGATTGAAATTAGGTTCTTAATGCATCGATTAAGGGGGTGGATAGCACAGTGGTAGTGGTTCCTGTCATCACGAGCATGGTGCAGTTCTATTCTTTTCCGGTCCAACCAAACCTCTCATCCTTCCGGGGTCAGGAAACTGATACCGAACTTGTCTGGGAAAAATTAGTCTCTAAAATCCAATTGGGAACGCTCCAGCGCGACTATCTCAAGACCCCAGAGAGAATTGTTCGAACAGTACTCTACGACATTCAAGATGAAATGAAAATCCTCAAGCAGCAACCGAAGCCACATATAAAGTTGGAAGTTCTTCATGGGCAGCGGGTGCGAGGGAACGAACTGAATGTGAGAAGTGCTGGGATCCGCACTGTAAACGTGAGGACGGGTCAAATTAAGCAAAATAAATGTATCGGTTTATTGACAGACTTATGCAAGGGGGTTAGAATTCTTTATTGTGGCTAACATTCCGGTGATATCGTATTCTTCAGAGCCATAATGGTTTCTTAGGTTCTAAAGTGGACAAGCTGTCCAAAGATTATCTGCAACTGTTGAAAAACCAGTTTCATCGCAAATGTTGAACCGTCAACGCTGTTATTTACTGGAAACTATTCATTTTCACTTGATATATATTCATACATAGTATATTCATGCAATTATACATATATTTTCTTACTGCCATTGTTCTCGCAGATGTCGCTGTTTTGTCTTTCAACGTCTGTGGCCTTGTTCATCGACTACATCGTTACATACACTGTTCTGGCTCCAGTAGTTTACATATGCAGTGATATAGGTGGCTACCAGGTGGCTCTTTCCACAAAGCCATCAAAAAGCGATTTCCTAGGCAAGGTAAGAATTCACTTAAGGATATAAACCTTACGGAACTGGTTACTCATGCTGTCTATTTCTAGTGGACGTGGTTAACATTATGGGCCTTCAGAAATATTTCAGCCCATAGGCTTTATAAGGCTAAACTGACGTTTTCATACTTTGTTTAAAACCGCTGCTTGAATATTTTCTTACCCTTCTCGTAATCACCTTCGATATTATCAGCATCCCGGTGTCTGCAGTGTAATGTCGTTGAGTTGACTCTAAAGCGACGAAGACTGATCCAACCCTTCATGGAATCATTAGGCGCAAATGGGAAGTGTTAAAAAGTTCCACTATTCTGCTGCGAACAAGAACAAGTTTGAACACATGAAACATTGCTTGAATACCTTTTTAATCCGAAGAAGTGCATTCCTAGGATGAAGTTGGTTTTGACTGGTTTGAAGGAAGCTGATGAGCGTACCGAATATGTGCAGAACATTGTTTCAAATCCAAGCTCTCTTTCCACAATTGTAAGCTGTTAAAGTGGATTTTAAAAGAATATCGAATTTGGGTGTCGTTTTTCTACACCTTTGCACGTCCAAAAAAGCCAACCAATTCAGTCTGCTATTGCTGGTCCTGCTGAAATTGTGAAGACTGCCCAGGTGAATATCAAAGATTTCGCAGTTGTTCGTTTACAAGCGGTAGTATGTGGGAAAAATTAATGAAACAATCTTCTCAGGTCATGAATTTAACCTAGCCATCTTATTAGAAAATCTATTCTCTTAATCATCTTAAGATGTAGTAGTGCGAAACATCATTTCCTTAAGATGCTTGATACTTTGTGGTTGTGTACATATGCTTCGAAAAAACTTCTACAGTTCTGCCGTCTTCGTTCAGTACTCTCGACTGCTTTGCTCATTGCATGGCCGTCTTCTCTGTGGTGTGTTCCTGATCACGATTTATTCGTTATCCGCAGTCGGAGTCTACTCAATGAAGTCGACATTCGAGCCGGCAAAAGCGTTTCCTTCGGATTCGCCTCTCGTCAGAAGCCTTAAGCATATGAGGTTTGTCATCTATCTATTCTCTTGTTCTTGTTCTTCGTCTTCCTACTTTCTCTTTTATAACTTTCGTCATATTCTTAGAAATCGAAAGCGTTCACAAGTACGAAGTAATCGAACGGAATTTTTTTTCTATTAAAAGTGTCGGTATTGTTAACCTATTTGTTGAGAACTCGTTTTCGAGGTAGTGACATTTAATTCATGTGTAGCAATCCACAATCGGCAACATCAGCCATCCTCCAAGGACAGAATAGTTGGTTTTAAACAAGAAAATGAACATTTGTAAAGCAGAGTTTTTTGTTTCTCAAAACTGACTTAACGGCTTTTCTTCTCTTTGATATCCAGTACATCTTAAAAATAAATGCATTGTTGATTTACATCTTCGGTGCAGACTCCATTATTTATGGCGCACACAGTGTTGGTTCGAATTCTTAGCTTCGAAATAAAAACGATAACAAGTCATAAAAATTGTGACCGTTTTGGTTTTCCAAAATCTGGTAAGGGGTATATTAAAGTATCCTACTGAAGGAAGATCGCTTATGCAGTCAGTGAACTTCGAAATACGAGCCATGTCCAAAACCACGCTCAGTGCTTCCGAAAATCAGAACTTTATCCAAGCAGAAGAGAACAAAAGTTGTCGCTTCCTGCGTGGATATGCAGACTCTATCACTTTTTATTTCATCTGGTGAATTTCACTCAGATCTGAGATATTTTGGATTAAAATTAAAAGTGGCCATTGTTTCTGCACCCTATGAATCTTATGTGATTCATCCGTTCACGAATACGTCAAATAGATAGGTTGGAATTTGTGATACAAGTAGCTTTATTACCACAATCCAAACTAAATATGATTGATCTTTATTAATGTGTTGATAGTGGGCGACAAAAATCGGCAGAAATTTTTTTCCCCACTTTTATGTTTGTGAAAGAAAATTACGAAGACTTTATTTAGACCGGTTTTCGACACGTGTTTTCCTGTGCGAATATACGTGAATCATCCGCCTAAAATATCCGATGAGAAGCAGGTGAGATCTCTTCGCAATTTCTCGAATCAAGGACCTTTTTATCAATTTTATCAGTACTATCACCTATCTAATTGCTAATCTTGGATGATTACCAATAAAATTCTCCTATGTACTGTATAATATGTTCTAGTTTTTCTGTGTGATTGGGTGAATGCAAAAAAAACGAAGGTGATTGCACTCGAATGCCCAGACGGAGGGGTTACTGCGTCCAGAAAGACAATGGAGAAAATGGTTCACGATTGCTACTTGGCTCTCTTAAACAGCCACGTCATTCCCTCTTATATGAAATAAAGAAGTAAGAATCAACCATATGGATTATCTTATTTTTTTTTTATTTTACATGACCCGTCTTCACATCTACTGTGCGTATCCCAGCACTACTCACACTTGATTCGTTTCCTCGCATTCACTGTCCACGAAGATCTTCCAACTTTCTGAGTGGATTCGGTTGCTACTTGAGGATTTTTCACTCCATCTTGAATGTGGTAGAATCCTGGTCGAGCAGTTCCCTCTGGTGTCCTGAGATAACCCGCCTGGAGCGTTCCCAGTTGTATTGCAGAGTGATTTTTTTTCCAGGCAAGTCCGGTACTAATTTCCAGACCCCTCAGGGATGAAAGGCTTGGCTGACCTAGAGCAGAATCGAATATCACCATGCTCGTGATGACGCACATCACATCACTCCTATATTGATTATTTATCCCACATAACGAAGATATTGTAGATATGGATAAAGATCGCGACTGCTCTCTGAGCGTTAGAGTGAAACATCGTGGGAATGGAAATCAACGGTAGGCAGTAACACCATCTTGGCTTTGCTGACGATATCGTTCCTATAACACCATGCATTAGCTAGGCGGAACTTTGATAACGCTTGTGGAAAGATTGGTCTTTTATTAAATTTCACAAAAGCGATGTTCGTGATAAACGGATCGGTTTCGTGTGCCTCATTCACGCCCAAGGGAGCGAACATCTTTGAATACTTGGATACTTGGACGGTCCGTCTTCACGAGCTGTGCGGACCCCAGTACATATGCCATTCGTTCTTTCTCTCGCAATCGTAGTCCATGGTGGTGGTTTTTTTTCGACCATGGTAGCGCTTGCGAATCTCATAACGTGATCTGTAAAACAACTGCAGCTGCGGGTACAGCTGATTAACTTTGTTTACGAACACATCCGCTCAACGTGTGGGTGGTCGTCCAAGGGGACGTTTTAATTCTCTTGGAGTCCACTCCACTGTTCTTTTCGTCCATCTGTCGTCTGTTCTTCTCATTATGTGACCGGCCCATCCATGTTTCGCTGTCGATGTATATTTTCCTGGATTTCAAAGATGTGACAGATTTCGATGTTTAGAGCTCCGCATTCCGGCTACATATTGAGAGTGCCGGTTATATTTCAGAAGACATAGCTCAAGCGCTCTGTGAGTAGTAGTTTATTCTCGATGTTGCTGAAGTATCAACCCACATTTCTGCAGTATAACAGAGTGCTGGGAGGACCGTAGAATCAAAGAGATGAGCGCGAATTTTCCGGTCCTTCAACTAGTCGGTGGCTACTTTGAGAGGCCCGAATACCGCCCAAGCTGCTCTCCTTCTTCTATCTAGTTCCTCCTTGTTGTTTTCCATGTTCATTGATCGCCCAAGGTAAACATACGAGGTGGTCTCTGCAAGAGAGCCATCCAATTCAATTTTTTCGCCTTCTCACCATGGGTTTTTCATTAACTGGGTCTTCTTTCGATTTATTGGAAGTCCGATCTTTTTCACCGCTTCGTTTAGCTCGTTGATCATCACCTCTGCTTTGCTAGTACTTCTTGAGAAGATGACAATGTCGTCAGCAAAACGAAGGTTTGATAGGAATATTCCATCAATACGTATGGCTTTCTCATCCCACTCGAGTGACTTTATTATCCACTGTAGTGCGGCACTGAACAGCTTTGGCGATATTGTGTCGCCCTGTCGAATCCCTTTTCCTATGGGTATTGCATGAGGTCGATGGAAAAGGTGTATTTTCGCAGTGCAGTACCGACAATAGTCGGACGGAGTCCTTATGTAGGACGGGTCCACTCCATAAGCGACGAGCGCTGATAAGATTGCATTCGTTTCGACACCGTCAAACGCTTTCTCATAGTCGGCAAAGGTTAGGACTATAGGCAAGTGGTATTCGCGACAAACTTCGATGAACCTGGACACGGTCTGGATGTGGTCCACGCAGCAAAATCCTTTTCGAAATCCTGCTTGCTCGACTGGTTGTGCCTCATCCAATGTACTTGATATGCCCGAGAGGATAATCTTCGTGAAGAGCTTGTAGAGTACACTTAACAAGCATATGGGACGATAGCTACAAAGATCCCTTCGGTCTCTTTTCTTGTGCAGGATAACCGTGCGCGATGTTCTCCACTGATCTGGGATTTTTTCCTTTTGAAGGTAGCCTGTCATATGATCTGCGAGAAGTACATGTAAATTGTGGCCTCCATCTCTAAGGAAGTCGGCATTGATATTATCGGGTCCTGGAGCTGTGCCTCTTTTCATGCTTTCTATCGCAACTCGAACCTCCGACGGAAGAATTCCAAGTGGCTTTTCTCCAGCGGGGATACTAGGGTCCGGGACGGTGATTGTGGAACGGAAAAGGTTGGTGTAGAACGTTTCCGCTATTAATTCCATATCATGGCGGAAAGTTTTGACGATCCTATCTTCAATTTTAACTTATTATTTACTGCCTACTCTTTTTAACGGCAGGGTATACACTGCAAAATACAACTTCGATGATACTGTTAAATTAAAAAAGTTAAAATTGTGATTATAACTGCGGCCTCAGCTTAATTTGGTTCGTTGCCGATTTGGGCCCCCAAGATCAACCCCGCTGACGGGTGATTGCTGTGGCAAAAAGATCGATAGAAATAGCTGAGAGACATGCGAAACGAAGGACCCGCATGGTGTGGTGGTGAACGCGCTACTCGCCGGAAAGGACAATAGCGCGTTCGTTCCCCACTGCATACACCTGCGGTCCGGAGTTTTGCAAATATCTCAGCATCATCGAAGTTATGGATCCCATCTTCGTTCATCAGGGCAACGGAACATTATAATCACACAAGCCCCGGCGGCATTCTTTCAGACTGCTTCTTTTCTTTGCTGCTTCCAGTATTTTCTTCTGCTTGTACCGTTGTCGATCTTCTTGCAAAGCTCTTCTGCAGCTGGCATTTATTACTAGCCATGTTAAACGTGTTGCAGTAGGATCGAGCTTCAGTTTCCCTCTCTTTTTGAGCAACTCCTTAGTAGTGATGGAGATGTGATCCGATCCTCTTGCTTGAGGAACTGAAGCAAACTTTTCAGTCCTTCGACAACCAGCTCGTAGTCTTTGGTCGGGTCTTCTTTATTCTGCTAGTCACGCTTGGAGAGGACTTCGTTCAGAATGTTCTCGTCGTACACAGCTAGACTTTTTTCTCGTGGTCGATGAAGAGAGTTCTTTTCCCGCTTGCGGCTGAATCGAATCTTCAGAAGGCGGTGATCGGAAGCAGTACAGAATGATGAGCCTACCGATTTCTCAAGTAAGCACCATTTTCTGTTTGTCAGAATACGGTCGATCTCAGCATGAGTTATGTCGTTGGAAGACTCCCATGTCCAGCGGCGGCTTTCTTTCTTCTGGAAAAACGAGTTTCCATGGAAGAGACGTGCTGCTGAAAGCAGTCCTGAGAGACGGTTCCCATTCTCATTTCTTTCTCCTATTCCCAAATTTACGCTCCTGTATTCGCTCTCGTTGGTCTTTCCTATTCTGGCGTTGAAGTCTCCAACAACAAATTTATGATATCCTTCATTATCGCGGATGACTTCCTCCAACTGATAGTAGAACGCATTTAATTCGTACTCATCAGCTGCGTCGGTCAGTGAGTAGCAATTGATGATAGTGATCTTCTTATGATGGGACAGTCGAAGACGGAGGACGGCTATGCGTGTGGAAATGTTGGCGTATGAGCCGACGAGATGGACAATGGATGGGTGGACGACAAAGTCTACACCACCCACGTTTCGTGGCGGGACCTTTTTTCCAAGGATCACAACGGTCCCATTGTTTAGTTGGCGTATGTCGGTCTCCTTGAGATTTAATGCGATCTGCGACTACAAGTGCGTGAAGATCGGTGTATGTGGACAGTATTCTGGCATTATACGTGCATAGTAAAAAACAATCTCCATGGCGTGTCGTGCGTGTGCTCGTCAGATCCGGTTCCAATGACGTCCTGCGTAACCCGAGATTTTCTGGCCTCTCATCGGTCGTCTCACCGCCTGACGTCATAGACGGAAGCACCCAGTGTGCGGGGTACCGAGGCTGGCGTATTGCTGGTCGTGCAACTTGGTCTTCCCTAGAGTCCTGACGTAACCTTTCAAGGGCGTATCCAGGTCTTTACCACGATGTGGATCAGAGGGAGGTGCGTTTCCGGGGACGAATCCTTCGCTCGGTCTTCCTACTAATTGATTCGAAAAGATGTTAAAACCGAAATCAGAAACGAAAGTAGGAATGTAAAAGTAACCGACCGCTCAAGGACGATGTAGAAACCGAATCCCCCGAACATCTTTGAATGCTACGGCTATATCCGTCTGGGTCGGAAAATCTACATTAGGAACGACTTAGCTCCAGAGTTGAGCAGGAGGAAGCGAGCGACTTGAGGTACTTTCAAGAACATCGAAAATGTAGTGAGAAATAAATAACATCTGACTTCGTACGTGCCCACCTTTTCAATTCCGCGATTCTTCCTACCTCTACGTGTGCATCAGTAACCTGTTCGCCACATAAGCATGATGAAAGATCAGTCAATGTTATAGAACACGCAGACGAAAGGATAATACATGGAGTATCCCGTATTGTGCAAGTGAGGGAGAGGATCGGAAGCTCCAAACCACGTCAGTGATCAGAAATCAAGGGTGCTATTCTACACGCCAAACTGTCGACCCTAGAAGAAAGCTATGATGCTTAACGAGTCTCAAGATCGTGCGGAAACAACAGGGCTACTCTTCGATAGAGGAAATGGAAGGTTTACTGGCGCTCGCTCGAATCATTTGTTGATCAAGGCGACGATAGGTGACGGATGATCTAACACGAACACCGAGCAATTTCCAGCGATCCTCAGTATGTTCGTTTGTCTTTTTCCACGAACATATTTCCCCTCCTTCTCAATATTGAGTGGATTTTAGTTGCAAGATGCTCGTATTTCATTACCGTATTTTTCTTTTGAAATAGGCTAGGCATATTTCTGCTTGACTGCGAAACAACACTTTAAACAGTGACGCAATCGAATACAACGACTGAATTTATTCCTGCAATTCTTTCTATTGGAGAGGACATAGGTGATTCAAGTGACGTATGCGAGGAATTCGGCATCATTGTGGTGCTAGCTGAGCGTTTGTAGACTTGTACGAATCGTATGTGGTAATGATCCAGATGAGTTCCTTGGAATCTAGCAACACAGCTGAGGCAAGGAGACCCGTCGAAGGAGATGTTATCTGTAGAGTCAGGTCATCGCATTCTAGTACAGTGAAAAACTTTAGAAAAATCAATCTATGGAATGGGTAAAACAGCTGTATTCGAAGTTCAAACAGCTGGGCTTTCTACTAGTTATTGGCTTAAACGAGTTTTAATGTAGTTGAATATTTATTGTAACAGTGGAATAACACTAAATGGAATGAAATCAGTTTTTATAGCAGTTTTTAATTAAGTGGAAAGAAATCTTGAAACATTGATCAATCACTAGGCATCTCAGAGTCACTAATGTTTTGCATTTAGGAAAAGTTTTACGTACCTCAACGGAACATTGTAAAAATAAAAACTTTTTACGAACAGAACTTGATCACCGCTGCTATGTTCATAAACCGTTCTACTGACGAAGGTATAACACCGTGTGGATGGTAGACGAGTTTTTCAGTGGGTTAGTAGAGCGACCTGAGGGTGCTTGTGCTCCATAACAAGTACTTATTCAGTCTTACGGATTCCATCAAAAGGATTCCAGCATTGGTGATCCATTCCTAAATCTTCTGAAAACTCTGTCATCTAGTGTTTTTGGCCACAGTTTGTATCCTATAAAGTAAAAAGAGCATGCAATCAACCACCGATGTCAGCTACTTGTGCGAGTGATTCAAATGAGTGCCAGTAATCGTCCGTTCACTTCTATCGGGGACCAGAGTCACCCGTAGGTTCTGTTCGAAAAAACACGATGAAGTACAACCACAACGTTGCTGAGATATTTGCAAAACTCTGGACCGCAGGTGTCTATGGTGGGGAACGAACGCGCTATTGTCCTTTCCGGGGAGTAACGCGTTCACCACCACACCATGCGGGTCCTTTGTTTCGCACGTCTCTCAGCTATTTCTATCGATCTTTGCCACAGCAATCACCCGTCAGCGGGATTGATCTGGGGCGCCCAAATCGGCATAGAACCCAGTTAAGCTGCGGCTGTAGTTGAAATCATAATTTTTATTTATGTGATCTTATAAACTGATCTTCTTAAGCTGACGCGAATCAGAATCAGCAAACATACTTCGATGAAGTGAATTGTAATTCTTCGTATTTTTGTTGAGCAAACGCGAGGTGTTATTGTTCTTTATACACGAATAAGCTGACGTTTCGGCGGATTTCGCCTTCTTCAGAGCCTGGAAAGGTCAAGTTGATAGCAATCTACTCGGCCAGACGCCTCCATAACCAAACAAAGAAACTCTAAACCAAGATTTCAATCACATTGAACACAGCTTTGCACACTTACCGCTTCCTATGAGGTTTCCACTAAGTATGTCACGTAGAGACCAACCGCACAGAAATCACGTGGAAGTATAATGTGCCCCTCACATCAGAAAAGCAGTTTTATATACTGCCCTATATCACGCGTGATAATGAGGCATTCTTCTCTGCGGTTCATTTTCGGATTTCTGGAATTAATCCAGAGTGCCTCGAGAGTTTTTCGCGCCTGTGTTCTTGATTCGCGTGCGAGAATCGTGACACATACTTCGAAGTCGTTCCCGTTATGTCTCTGGGTCGTATGCGTGCCTAGCGGGGTATTTGGTCTATTTTTGCCGGCTAGGTGTTCTTTTATGCGGACACAGAGGGGTCTGCCCGTTTCGCCAATGTATTCGTCACCGCACGTCTTGCAGGAGATCAGATAAACTATACCCGAGCTCATGCAATCACCGTCTCTACCACTGGGGCAAATTATGCAATTTTGAGTTGCACATAGACGGTCATATAGGCGGTTACGAACTAGCTGGCGCTTAAGATTACTCGGTGGTATGCTAAACTTTGCGGAGAAAATTCGAAGACCTTTTGAGTAAATCACATAACACAGCTTCAATAGCGCACAGAAATATCGCTAAAGAACATCAAACAGATCACAGTAGGATAGGTAATGTACAAGAAAATTCAAGGCTAACTGTGTTAGGAGGCATAACTCTCCCTGACGGTGCGCGCTCGTTATTAGAATTGGGGCCGAGTTTCTCACCATCTGAACCCATTTCTAAGATAACCTTGCGTAGGGTCGCATGTGGTTTACATGAACTTCCAGATAGACTCCGCAAAAAAGCTAGAGATGAAGCGCTAAATAGGTGCGAACAACACCAAGTGGGGGCCCTACCAATAGCACCATTTCCCCCGACGTTCTTTAGACAACAAGAGCCCAATAATGAAATTGATGTTAATTTTCGGATGTTTGCGAATGAAGCTCTCAAGGTCCTTAATCACTATCGTGCGAAAAGATACAGCTCAAACCTCACTCCAGTGCAAAAACGTGGTATGCGAGAGGTACGAGAGCTGATAAGGTTGAAAACCATAAGACTATCCGTTAGTGATAAGGGTGGAGAGTTTGTCGTAATTCCTCATCAGTTAGATGTGGAGATAACGAAAAGGCATCTTGAAGATGCTTCTCTTTATCGCCCATCATCTGAGGAGGAATTCAAAAGTAGATACCGTAAATTGAACCACGAATGGGCCAAAATGACAAGGGCTGCTGGTTTAAAACCATCAGTTATCTCTCAACTTAAAGTTGCCTTACCAACATGCCCGTCTTGTACTTACTCATAAAAACTCGTAAGTTAGTATCCAGCGATGATCTTGCGTCAACCGATCCATCACTATTTAAGGTTAGACCTATCGTTAGCTGCGTAGACGGGCCAACGGACAGGATAACATGGTTTTTAACCCTGATATTTAACCAGTTGTTGAAACACATTCCAGCCCATCTTACGAATACCCAGATGTTTCTGGATCGTCTATGTACTGCGCAGCTCAACAGCGCGTGCGTGATGGAGTCCTTCGACGTTACCGCCCTTTATACAAACGTGTCGAATGACTCCGCAATGCAAGCCATATTCGAACTCCTTACACAACACGAAGGAGATAAACATGTATGGCTTCAGGATAGAGCACCTGATGGCACTCTTAAAAGAATGCTTGAGCTGCTCAATCTTCAGATGGTCTGGAAAGTACTACGCTCAAATAAGAGGGCTGGCAATGGGACAACGACTGCATCCAAGCCTTGCCATTGTATTTATGTCTAGGGTGGAAGCACCGGTGACTGATCTTGGGCCGCTACTCTACTGTAGGTATGTAGACGACTGCTTTGTCCTTTGCTCAACACAAGAGGAAATGGACAAATGTTTCGAATTGTTAAACGCACAGTAAGAGTATATCAAGTTCACCCGAGAAAAGCCGAAAGAAAAATGGCTTCCATTTTTGAACGTACAAATTCACCTATCAGAAAATGGCTACATTACGAAGTGGTACCGAAAGCCAAGTAGTAAAAACATCTTGGTTCATTACCTCTCCTCTCACCCCTCTCACACGAAAAGGGCGCTTATAAGAAACATGTTTCGAACAGCAACCAACGTGTGCACGGGAAGAGAGCAGAGAGAGGAGTCCCGGAACTTGGCACGGCAAATAGCCATTTCTAATGGCTACGAAACTGTAGCTCAGGATAGGTGTAGAGGAAATCTTAGGCCTTCAAACGACAACTCTAGCGATAGAAGGGTCCCGTTTATCCTACCCTTCATCTCAAATGATATAAGTACAGCTATAAAACGCTGCTTGAGAAGGGCGGGCTTAGAGAATTCGGTAAGCGTAGTTGAAATACCACCGAGTAATCTTAAGCGCTAGCTAGTTCGTAACCGCCTATAGGCGAAATCCGCCGAAAGTCAGCTTATTCGTGTATAAAGAACAATAACACTTCGCGTTTGCTCAACAAAAATACGAAGAATTACTTGATCAATGCCGAGGTTAATAGAAAGTCGGTCGTGGAAGTGAATTGTTTTAGTAAACTGCACCCGTCTTGCCAATGGTGTTCTTCTTATCGCCGTGGAATCCATTCACAAACACTTTTCTCCAGCCGTTATCATTCTTACCAACTTGATTTTCGCGTTATGAAGCCGCGTTCAGGATCACCCATTGCAGCCGCAATCCCGAATTCCGTATTCACTAATTCACTTGGGTAATACAGGATGTTGCTACTACATCGCCACCCTTTGGAATAGTACTTTTATTAACGCGGACCGTTGCTCATGTTTACGTTGCGCGCAGACCTAGGTTTTCGAGGCTTAAGTTGAGACAGAAGAGAGTATGGAGTTTAAGGGAATTAAATGGAGATCCATAACGTCTTTCTTTTATTCACAATTTCCATGCTGTTGTTAGACTTCACAAATCACCCGCGTCTTAGTTCGGTGTTCTGGAACTATGTCGCCCTCCATCTTCCTTTCTCGACATACCATATATATATATATTAATTTATACATAGTGTGCAGCTTTTTACATTTCTTTCTAAATGTCGACTACAAAAATTTTCGCTTTGCATCGTTTTGGGTAGAAACTAGTCACTTGCAAATAAGTTGGAGTAGATTTGGTTACAAACGTCTTCTAAACCGAATTGGAAATATTTCCGGTTTAGTACAACAGCTTCTATGAAATGATCTCTGAACTCGAACATGTGGAGGGCACATACGGGAAAGGGGAAACGCTGCTGTTCTTGAAAGATTATGAGAAATTCGACAGAAAGGTGGGCTCTTTTACGGTTATAGCTATAAAGCAGTAGTAAGTGTAATATCAAACGAAAGACCTCTTTTGATATTCACTTTAGGTGACGGGAATGACGAGGTCATTCCTATTCGCTCCAGATGTGGAATATAAACCGAGTCTTCATAATCTCCAGTTTTGGCTCGACAAGATGGGAAACCCACCAACAGTAAAATACGTGAGAGGGAACGAATCTGAGTTAGTAAAACAGTGCTTCTCGACGAAAAACATTTAGCAACAACGATGAAGTCGGTTTAGTTAATTACATTTGTGCAGAAGCGTGAATGGAAATGTTTTACAGTATGAAAACTTGCCGTACTCATAAATCAGTTAGTAAGAAGGAGTAATAATAGTAAAGTAACTCCAATAATAACTGAGATATTTCCAAAACTCCGCACTGCAGATGTCTGCGGCGGGATCGAACCTCGTTAATGCCCCTTTATAGTTGTCTTTCACATGATGCTCTGACATGAAAGAAGAGTAGGAAGTAAATGGAAAGTGTTAAATAGTAAAACATTTCTTAGGTAGACATTGTTTATCATTCACAGCCGAATGTAGGTTGTTCGATGCTGAACAAAAGAAACAATTTAAAGGGTAACCACAGAGGTGCTGAGATATCTGCAAAACTCATGACCCCAGGGTAGATCCGTCGAAAATTTGAAAAAATATAACAAAAAAGAAAAATTGAAATTGAAATTGAAGGGGTATTTTGGATAAACTAGTAGTTTTTCTTTGCTTCAAGTCATTGAGCATGATATGGATCTCAGTAGGCTTTTCGTTTGGAGAGAATGTAAATAAGTGAAGAGAGAAGTGATTTGGACGGTTTTCGTATCGTTACAGTGAGGGCCATCTCACGTCGTTCTCGTTCATAGTTCTGGGCAAGGGAATGGCCGAGTGGGCGAATCGGGCGCACTTCGTGCACGGGATACGGCAGGTGCTCAACGAGCACCGTCAATGGAACGCGACCCTCTTCGACGGCGACTCCGCTGTGCTCTCTTTGATCCTGACTGTAAGTCGCGGACACTTTCACTTATTTACATTCAGTAGGGAAATTTTTTTAGGAAAAGAAATCCTTAAAAACAGAAATATGACAAAAAATTGTCACGAAATTCACACTGACTTGTGTTTTAGCTAATGCAGAAAAGTTCGGTCACCTAAAAGCGAGAACTGGTATGAGCAGCCGTTAGAAGATGTTATCAAATATCCACACGTTGTGTACGAGGAGAAGAAAAAGATTTAGGGACGCTCTATGCGTTGTTTTCACTAGGAATCACGAAGCTGTTTGAATGCGTATTTGCTGTATACAACTCACTCGTGGAGGTGTACCGATGTGTAGCGTCATTATTTTATCTTCCCAAGCAAGTCTAGTAACGCTTGCGAAGAGAATGAAGGGTCCGACTATCTGCGCACTCCTTGTTTCGGTAATTGTAAATTACTAGTTCTATTTCACATTATTTAGCAGTGGTCGGAGGCGCCCTGCAATACACATGGTATCGGTCCCTAAGCCCAGGCGCACCAAGCCTTTCATCCGTCCGGGGTCGGTAAATTAGTACCAGACCTGTCTGGGAGGGTAGCAGCAGTGGCTCGATACATTGGTAGGCCAGCGCGAGTCATTGTAAAGGCCAGATATGTATTCAGTCACCTCCAACGATGCTTAGTGAGGTCGAATTCAGCGCAGCGCATTCCTCAGGAATTGATCAACGCCGAGAGCTTCATCCTTTTTTTATTTTTTATTTCACATTATTGCAAACAAACTTTTTAATTGCTCATTTTTTACACAAATCCATTGCCTAGAGATACATGAAAGTTGTAAATAGATATAATACGCTTTCGAATTAGATCTTATTGGACTTGTGTGAAAGAAATGTTGCTATTGGTTTTTAATCGTTTTAGGGAACACTGTGTCTCAGAATTTTGAATTGTCAGTCTATTTGCAAATACTCGTTTACAAGTGAATGTAGTCCTCTTAATCAACTACTTATTTTTTCGAGAATAACCAAGAGTCTTTCAAAAGTGGCGTTTTCTTATTTTCTCTATGTTAGGGAGAGTTTGCACCAACTATTTCAAGGCTGGGAATTCAGGTTGGCTATGACTTGATTGGTTCGATAGCAGCTACCGTGGCATGTATGGCTGGAATTTGTCTACTGTTCGTCAATAGTCGACTAGGAGTATTAATTATTACTTACACCATCGCATCTATTTGTTTTTGTAAGTTTTTTTATAGAATACGATAGAGATAGTTAGGAAACCGTTAACCCTTAACGCCCGGTGTGGACACTGTAGCGTTCATTTTCACTTTAATGCGCTCCAAAGTTTTTTTCCACTGTGTGTATTCATTCGATAGCTAATCAAAAGCAGACCAAAACAGTAGGAGTGTGTATAGAAAGACCATCCCCTACACTTAATGATTTACAAAAAAACTCTTTCCTAGAGGTTCATTGACCGGTCATTTGATTAACTTTTATTTCATTTTAATCAATATGGTCATTGTATGAAATCTTCGGATATAAAAGATACCGAAATAGACTCAACATAACCTGCCAAATAATTCGCAGCGCTGACAGCAATACACATGCATATTGGTCCATGGAATGACACAGTGAGTAGCATACACATTATCCATACCAAGGAACGATAGAGGAAAGCCTGGTCTACAATCTGCCAGATTCACAACTCCTAAAGCACCTTAGTTTTGAGAGATTATTCCCTATTTCCAAAGAATCAGAAAGTCTGCACCTGACGAGAATATGCTCGTATTGCTTCCGAAGAACCTCACTAAATGGCGAGCGTCTGTTATGAGATAGCAAACATTCTAAAAATGTTGAGATGCTGCTGCTGTCACATGCTGATGCTGCTTTTCTTTAGATTCGGTTGCATTAAAGAAGCAAACCATTAAATCGCCGTTTTCTTTCTCAGCAATCGTGAGGTTGTTAAACAGCATACGTTTACTTCCATACAGTAACACACAACACAATCGTAGCTGACGTTTCGGCAGAATCGCCTTCTTCAGAGATTGGAAGGGTATACTAGTACGCAACTGACTAGTCCAAACGCTTCAACAGCACAAACAGAAAGATGAAAATCTGCACGATAATTACAAGTTCAACGGTTTCTCGAAAACCCTACCGTTTTTTTCGCCTGTCTTCCACTGAGGAAGAACAGCCGCTCAGAATCGCATGTAGTTGACGACTGCACATCCCCACATCAACGATCGGTAAGGAGCGAGATCACGCGTGATAATAATCCAGTGCCGAGGCTAAGTCGATCCTGGCTACTATTATAAACCATTAATTCTTACTCTTTCATTTAAATGGGAACAAGCAGCCAACTATGCTTTCTTGTAGGCCTGGTTGGTCTGTTGTCGTGGTGGGGAGCTGATCTCGATCCTGTTACCCAAGTTGATGTTCTTCTGGCTACCGGATTCAGGTTGTTGATGATTTCAAATACAATAATATTATGTTGATCTCTTCCTTATCAGGGAGCGTTCAGTATTAATCATTTACTTAAAGCGTGGTTGAAATTTGACTTCTTTGAGCATAGAGGTGTGAATGCATATTTGACTTATTACTCCATGTAATGACGTCCGGGGGCTTACCCATTTATATAGCCAATTTTTCTATTCAATGACAAGCTTGGTACCCTTCTAGTGACCTAGTGGGAGGAAAGGTTTAGTGAGTACAGCGCACGGAGCCGAACTAATGATCGCATACATCGCGCGGATCTTGTAGTCACTAAGTTACATTTGTTCTTTGCTGATATTGCATAAACGCCTCTGGCGTTATCTTGCTTAGAATTGTTGCGATTGAACACCAGCAAAATCTTGCCCTTGCCACGTATACAAACAATACACTTAGTTCCATATGTTTGGCATACAAGCAGCAATCTATCTTCCGTATTAAACGCTGTATGTGTATTATTTCTTGCCAAAATGCAACGGAAGTAACCTCTAAGTTTTACCATGGTGTAACTTTAGTCTTAACTGAAGAAAGTATCATCGAACTTCTACTCATCGCAGTTCGACGAACAGAAATGCACCTAGCGATACGATGAACCACTGAGAATGGGATACATTCACGCGAAAGACAAACCGATGCAGCAGAAATAAGTAATCCATCACCTGCGCATAAGTTCATGTTCATGGTTATCGTTGGTTTACATTCGTTTAATCAGAGCTTAAGGGCATACTATGGCAACCGATCTGCTCGAGATTCTTCACATGATGATATGCATGATTTTATGTGCATTGTATGCCACTTTTTTCACCAAGCCTTGAGCATTTTCAAGTTCTCTGCGAAGAATCTCCTTCAATTTTTACCATTCCGACAAGTACAAACCTCCTAATTCGGCAATATCACCAAAAATTGTGAGTTGTTTAGTGTTGACTACACTGCTCATGTAGCATACCAATTCTACCGTAATTACGGCTCCGCGCAGGAGAGGGTGAAGAGCAGTTTAAGCGAGATGGCTGCGCCGATGATACAGGTGAGTCTTCGGCACATGAAAGGATGAGAGCTATTCCGACTACGGTGGATAGTAACCAGTTAACGGAGTTGCCCATGTCGGTGAGCTCTTGCTCACCACCACACATTCCTCGCGTCTCCGCAACAAATTAGTAGATAAGAAATTGTAAACAAGGTCATACTCAATATGCCTTTGGAATAGGACTTTCGACCAAACAAACAGTTTATACAACTACAATATTTGCACCATAAGTTTTTATGCACAGCAAACTTGTTTTGTGCTCCACGAATACTTAGTCTTTAAAGAAACGGATAGGAAAAAATTGGCAGATAACGACTTCTAACAATGACTAAATAGAAAGCATGGAAACAAATCAAGACGAGCGTTGACATTCTCGTTCCTTCGGTTTTTACAAGTAGCATACGCCTACCTACTCAAATCATGGCAGTGCTTGATGTTAAGTCCTTTTTTTATTTCGAAAAGTTACGTAAGTTCTCTGGATATATGGAACCGTTCGATTCAGGCTGGTCTTTCCACGTTCCTATGCATGTTGCCGCTAATTTTCGTTCCTACATATGCAATCGTCGCCTTCGCGAAAACCATATTCATCATTGTAAGCATCGGTAAGTACCCCACTTCATGGGATATGGATTTCATAAATATGCTTATTCACGTTCACAATTCCATAATGTCCACCTCCTAATTTCCAATCGTCTTTAGGCCTTCTGCACGGCTTATTTGTCCTTCCTGTGCTGCTTTCCCTCTCAGTACATTCATCCACCCCTTCACCTCTTCCAGTCAAAATGGAACATGACATCGAGAACGAATCAGATCAATAGCAACGACACCATACGGAAATTAATAACTTCCTATGAAATGTTTTGTTCGTTGTTACAATAGTGACCAAAACACCGCTTAATACATAATGGACGGTGCTTGTTTCTCAAGAACTTCCAATAATTTTCTGATGAGTACCTAAGTTGAGAACAGACAGACGTACAAAAAAGACTTCGTCCTCAACCGCTCTGAAGGCATATACATAAATTTTCCTATGTTTTTCTAATTTCAAATTTTTCACTCAAGCACGTGAGCCTCAAATCTGTGCCGCACTGCCTCGCTGTTCATAACACGAATCTCAAGGAAAAGGAAAAAAAATCGCAAACTTGCCCTCCTCGGGCTCTGAAGTATCGTAACATATGGACGAAGATTTGTTGACAAGTACTTATAGGTTTTTTACTTTTTATCTTCTGCCTACTACAATTTTCACGGCAGGGTACTATGTGTGGACTCCCCAGATCAATCCCTTTGATGGGTAATTGCTGATGGCAGAGATCGATAGAACTAGCTGCGAAACAGATGGAACGAAGGACCCGGATTGTGTGGTGGTGAAGTGCGCTGCTTCCTGATAAGGACAACAGCGCGCGTTCGTTCCCCACCTTAGACACCTGCGGTCCGGAGTTTTGCAAATATCTCAGCATTATATACGAGTCTTCTACTACTGCGCCACACGTGCCGATAAGGTACTTCAACAGTAAATTTTATGTTATACCTTTTTATTTTCTGCCTATCATAATTTCGCGGTTACGCTGCCGCGAAATTATAATAGGCAGAAAATAAAAAGGTATAACATTACGATTTCAACTACAGCCGCAGCTTAACTGGGTTCTATGCCGATCTGGGCGCCCCAGATCAATCCCGCTGACGGGTGATTGCTGTGGCAAAGATCGATAGAAATAGCTGAGAGACAGGCGAAACGAAGGACCCGCATGGTGCGGTGGTGAACGCGTTACTCCCCGAAAAGGACAATAACGTGTTCGTTCCCCGCCTTATACACCTGCGCTCCATAGTTTTCCAAATATCCCAGCAACGTTGCGGTTCTATTTCGCTTAGTACGCTGCCGTAAAAATTGTAGTAGGCAGAAAATAAAAAGTAAAACATTGTGATTCCAACTACAGCCTCAGCTTAACTGGGTCCAATGCCGATGTGGGCTCCCCAAATCAATCCCGTTGACGGGTGATTGCTGATGGCAGAGATCGATAGAACTAGCTGAAAGACAGGCGAAACGAAGGACCCGCATGGTGTGGTGGTGAACGCGTTACTCCCCGAAGAGGACAATAACGCGTTCGTTCCCCACCTTAGACACCTGCGGTCCAGAGTTTTGCAAATATCTCAGCAACACTGTGTATGTATAGATTCTAATGGTTTTATTTTTCACTTAATAAAGTTCAGTATGACCTAACATATGTTTGTTTAATGTGAAAAGAACAATTACTTCCGGCTACATACTGGCTGAATCAAGTCGAAGTTGAGACTCACATCGTTTATTATATGTTAGTTACAGATGCAAAAACATTAAAAATCAACAACAGATAACACTGTAGTGAACTGTCCATCAACTTCAAAGAATCGCATCGCAATCATAGAGGAAAGAAGTTACCATGTACAGAAATAGTATACTTGCATGTCTTCGTAATTAACCACCATGAAGAGTTGATATAAATGTGACTAAGTCACCGTTATACAACTGACATTTTTCCTAGAAATAACAAAGTCCCACTTACGTAATGTAAGAAAGAAGATGCGTGTTCTTCAACCTACACAGTCCAGTAGTTCCCAGTCACATTCGTTCACGAGAACTAGTACACCAGGTCTTATCGTCTCCCCTTCAATTAGAAGATCTTGTCTATCACTGTCCTGAAAATGGATAACGAAATTAGTGGATCACCAGTGTAAGCTTGGTAAATAGCACACAGTTTGCTTAACAGCTCTGGATTTCAATTGACTACCGTCGAATTTGTCTAACGACGACCACAGTACTGAGAACATTTACTGTGAAGTTCTTCATCAATTTTAACGGATCACTTATCTGTTTACTCTAATTTCGAAGAAACTCAGTGAGCTGACAAGTATTAAAAATTTGTAAGACAGTGCAGCAAGGTTGGTTGTGAAAAACGCAGTTTCTATGTACCTGGTATACCACTCGTTTGGCAAGATTTTTTTTGAGTCTGAAAACCTGTGTTAGGCATTCCTGGGCTACTACAGCGATCGCTTGCCTTTGTCGACAAAAAGGTGGTTTGCTGTCAAGCGATTAGAATTTTCGGTAAGGTGGCAGCCCCGCCACTGATTTAATACTAAAGTGGCTTCCGAACGGAAACTCAAACTGCTACCCAATTTATTAACGGTACTGATGATGCGAACTCTTGCTGTACACGAGTGTACCATCGCCAAAGGCCAGTACTGTAGTACCCACGGTGAAGCGATACACAGGCGTACGGTAGATGATTTCCCGAGAACATATAGTAGATAATGGTAAGGGGCTAAAGATTGCTGTCCCGAACACGTCTTTAAATGGATACAACTGGAAATATGAGCAATGGAAACGTTAACTCCCTAAATATCACGAAGTTTGCAAGAAATCAGCCTGTGATCTTTTGAAATTATATCCGCATGAAACCATGTGAAACAGCTCAAATGAATAATGAATGGGTGAGGTTGGCTATTAAAACGCAGAGCCAATTCTAGAGGCATCTGGATATGAATTGCACACTCGGATGATATGGTTCACGAACTTAGGAATCAATTGAGTAATCAAATGTGATTCTCAAGAGAATCTTTAACACTCCCATGAAGAGTGGCACCTATATTTATTTATGTGATCTTATAAACTGATCTTCTTAAGCTGACGCGAGGTTGGTACAGATCTTCGTTGTCGTTGTTTTTGATGTTATTGAACGATGGCTGACGTTTCGGCGACTTCGCCTTCCTCAGAGCCTGGACGTACTTTACGTTAGAATACTTTTTATTATTCGGTGGAAAAGAAGGTTAAAGTATTAATGAAGATCAAACTTTCAAATAGACGCCATATTGAACAGAAAGGTCACTCACCGTGATGTTATGTGCGGGACTGGCCGACACGTAGTTTACGCGAGCAAGACACGCCCCGGGGTCAAAATATCATTTTGAAATAGGGCGCCAGGTCACGCGTGATAGTGAGGCATTCGTCCTTCCGGTTCATCTTTGGATTTTCGAAATTTATCCAAAACGCCTCAAGAGTTTTGCGCGTTGATGTTTTTTCCCAAAATAATATTTCAGACGAAAATAAGATTCCCTTTAAGCTGCCCTTCATATCAAATGAAGTAAATCACGCCATTAAAAAGTGCTTAAGAAAAAGTGGTCTTGAAAATTATGTAACGATTGTTGACATCCCACCCAATACCCTACGCCGCCAGTTAGTTCGAAACCGTCTCTATGATCGTTTGTGCAGCTCAGAAAACTGTATCTGTCCTAACGGGAGAGACGGGACTGCATGAGTTTAGGTATAATATACTTGATCTCATGTAATGCATGCGGCGAGGAATATATCGGGGAAACGGGTAGACCACTTTGTGTCCGCATAAAAGAACATCTAGATGGGAAAGCTAAAATCCGTTTAAACACCCCTCTAGGAACGCATAGGGCACAAAAGCACAACGGCGATGATTTTGAAGTGAATGTGCGGATCCTAGCGCAGGAATCAAAAACATCAACCCGCAAAACTCTTGTGGCGTTTTGGATAAATTTCAAAAATCCAAAGATGAACCGGAAGGACGAATGCCTCACTACCACGCGTGACCTGGCGCCCTATTTCAAAATGATATTTTGACCCCGAGGTGTGTCTTGCTCGCGACACCACGAAAACAACGTGTGGGCCAGTCCCGCACGTAACATCACGGTGAGTGGCCTTCCTGTTCGATATGGCGTCTATTTGGAAGTTTGATCTTCATTAATACTTCAACCTTCTTTTCCACCGAATAATAAAAAGTATTCTAACATAAAGTACGTCCAGGCTCTGAGGAAGGCGAAGTCGCCGAAACGTCAGCCATCGTTCAATAACATCAAAAACAACGACAACGAAGATCTGTACCAACCTCGCGTCAGCTAAAGAAGATCAGTTTATAAGATCACATAAATAAATATATCAACTATTTATGCCGAGGTTCATAGAAAGTCGGTCTTTCGAGTGGCACCTATAGGTGTCATAAATTTTTGCCAGAGTTGCCTGTATAACAACATAGGTCTCATTTTCCTTCCAACAGTTTATTTAATAGAAACTAGCATATAGAAATATTTTCCACACCTTTTGTTATCAAAGCACAGCACTACTTAGCAGTAAGAAATATACAAAAAACCGTTTCCCGAAAGAGTTCACTAAGCAGAAATTTGGGTTCTTATCGACTACTACTTCAAACCTAATCGCTAATAATAAATGGTTATCGTATAGAGGTGCGGATGCTGAAATAGAAGCCCACCATTTGCAAAACAGTTCCAGATGTCTGCACGATGAATCATAGTAACATTTAGTAAATAAAAAGTAACAAAGGATAAAACTCCCGGCGTTGATCAATCCCTGAGTGATGCGCCATGCATTTGACTTCATTAAGCATCGTTCCTGATTGAATGATTTATGACTGGATGCATATCTGGCTTTTACAATGACTCGCGGTGGCCCACCTATGTCTCGAGCCAGTGCTGCTATCCTCCCGGACAAATCTGGTAATTTGCTGACTTAGGAGAGATGGAAGGCTTGGTGGACCTGGAGCACGTTCGATCCCATGTGTCTTTCAAGGCACCTGCGACCACTGAGCCACACGCGCCTCTTAACATTTGACGAAAACATTTGGCAAATAGCTGTGTAAATACCATTCATACTCATTGAACCATATAGCGCAGTTTTTTTCTACAATCGATTCATGATCACAACCCACATAGTCTGCTAGTTATCAAAAAATTATTGCTTATTTTCAAAAAACTAGCAAGTCTATGAAAGTCGTAAATTAGGCGACGTCCAGTCCGTAACAAACGCGCGATTAGGCGTCATGGTGACAGCGTCAATGAGTGGTGTATATATATCGTGAACCACATGCATCAGTAAGAAAAGATACTATTTCCTAGTGTTCCAGAAAAAAAAAGATAGATGCAGGAATACTTATTAGTTGTTATCAAAGTGAAAAGATCAATTGCAAGACACTTAATATTCCGGAATAATTGAAAATAATAAAAAAAACAAAAATAAGAAAATAAATTTTCTGTAACTGGAAGGTAAAAAACCAAGTGGCTATTACCAAAAGGTATATTGAAGATGGAAAGACTCCACAGATATGACCAAGACCAGCTTACTTTTTCTGACTTCTGTTTCTAAAATCGATTAAAACAGCGTTGAGAAAAAGAATCACCATTCTGGTTTGTTGACAGTTTTACATGAGTTTGGTTAAAAAAAATTATGTGTCTAACGTTCCAGCGATATCGTCTCATTCCAGTTGTTTGTTAAAAATTGTGGTTCCGCTAAAATCAGATGCATTTGATGGTGCAAATAATTCAAAAGGTCATCGATGACTAGTAAAATAAATGCAGCACAGAGGAACAGCTAAGAGTATGTTTTCGCAGTGCTGCCTCCATTAATGCGCCATAGAAATAGTACTTCTTCTTCCACTCTTTCGCGAAAACCATTCATAGATGTTACATTGTCCGTGGTTTCACCGTCAAGTGTTGATGTTGTGAAAGCGGAATCCGAGCAAGTGTTAGGCTAGTTGGGTAGAGTTCATGGAATATGGTTATTGTGCCCTGTGGATAATGTAATCTTCAATATGGTAGATGGTGTTCATACATCTAATTTCCGTTGCAGATCGTAGAAAAATTTTAATCGAACAGGTTAGCGTGAATTTTCGAACAACCCGAACAACCTGTGTTAATCGACTTTCTTGTGGGGCTCAAAAGCGACTTATGCTTACCAGCATCTTTTCGATAGTTCCCCAATATTCATCATTAATATTCTAAAATGCAAATGTGACTTTTATAATCGCAAGACTACCCATTTACAATATAATATACTCGTCTTTTTACAAAGTATTTGGGATGAAGTGGGTTAAAATCCGGTCCACTTATAGCTCTATCCTCTTGCTTTCACGTCAAGATCTTTGAACATCACGAATTACTCATTGGTATGTCTCGAAAGGAAGAATAATTCGTAGAAAAAATGGATGCTTAGGATGGAGAGATTAAAATGCTAAACTCGTCCAAATGTAATGAATTCATTGCCCACCATGGTGTGGTGATGAATAAACAGTCACCCTCGAGAGAACATATTGGTGAAAGCTAGTACTTTCCATCGCTTTCAAATATTCTTAGCCCACGAAGGTCAGGACAAAAGCAGGGAAAGGTCATGGAAAAGCTAATCTGAAAAAAAAACTAAGGCTCAAAATATGGCCTAAATGTGATCTATCTAGTGGAATCGTTGTTGCATCGAGCTTTATAAACTATTGAAGCATCATGAAAAATCACAGTAGGAAAAGTATTGCGAAAAAAAAAAACAATTTTCAATGGCACGCGTAGATCTTATCGACAACTCTGTGTACTACTATTATAACTGTTTTCAACGTTTTCCGTTGATTTCAGCTTTCTTCCTCGAAAAGGACCATATGAAATGCATGGCACAGAAAGTTCACATGAAATATTCTGGCTATGAATTCCACGTTGAGAATGTAAACTGTCCGTCGTACTGGTACGTTAGGTGAGATGTAAGGAGATTAGGAATGTGAAAACTAATGTACTTTACTTCTGTTTTGAAGAACACTTCTTCAGATGACGAATAAGTTCTGCCCCGCATGTGACTTAATCGGCTTCAAACAGTGAGCTAATAACGAAGGTTAGCTCTCTAAAAACAGCAAAGAATTACCTGTCTAGCATCAAAACATATACCCTTACAACTACTGCATGATGTCCACGTATACACCCATGAGATGTGAATGAGAGACATGTTTGTATTCAGTATAATTCTCCACTAGAGCATTAAAACTAAGTGGCTAATACTATAACTAAACTCGTCTATATACGTACAAGCATACATTTATAAGAAAACACATATATATAAGCATATATGCATAAAAGGATAGAAGGATAAAGCTCTCAGCGTTGATCGAACTCTGAGGGATGCACCGCGCATTCAACTTCACTGAGCCTCGTTGGAGGCGATCGAATGCATATCTGACCTTTACAATAACTCGCCGTGGCCTAACAATGTATCGAGCCAGTGCTGATACCCTAATAGACAAGTCTGTTACCAATTTGCCGACCCCGGAGGGAAGAAAGGCTTGGTGCGCCGTAGGCGCGAGAAGCAATCCCATGTGTAATGTCGGGCGCCTCCGACCACTGCGCTGCACGTATATGTGCACGGAAACCAAGATCAGTTGACTCCTACTATTAAAAAGCTCTCAATATTGTCTTATCAAACACAATCCTCCACTTCTTTGGAGGATTTTTACGGCACTAAAATACTATTCGCGATCCTAAGAAAATTTGACAAGCAGGTAGCATTATTTCTCCTAATACTGCATTCTTTAACTATTTTCCACATAACATTAGACCTTATCGAGATAAATGCACTCACTGCTAATCTAACTAAAACCTAACAAGAAAGAACAAGAGAAACGAACCTTAAGCATGACATCCTTAACATGTCGAATAACATCGGCCACAGTAACGAAATCTTCGTCGCATGGAAAAGAAACCTTTAAAAAACGAAGATAAGTAACGAGGCATTCGACAGCACCAAAACAAACCTTGTGTTCTTTCTTATTTCCAACCAGAAATTCGCAGCCACCAGAAAACTCAATCGTTAGACTAACTTCGCCCATAGTAATTCGAAATGTTTGTTCTAAAATATCCATAGGATAAACAATAACGGAACGAAATAGGAAGTACTCAAGAACATACTATTTTCACAATGTTATAATCAGTGCTGTTTATGTACTGTTTACTAGACGAACTAATTATGACTGTAATACCTAAGAGAGGTGAAAGAGGAATACAAGAATATTATTTGTGAACAAGTACTCAACGAAGACAGAAAACATTAACAACAGAAAACATATAAGAAATTCAGAAAATACTCGTGTTCAACTAAAAACGAATAGCAGATCAGTTGCTCTGGTGCAAAGCAATGATGCAGTCTTCATGTTTGGAAAACGTTATCTGAAAGGGAAACCATTACACCGCACTAGAAGGCTAACACTATAAAAAGTAAAGAAAACCTAGAAATCGCCAAGGCATTACAAATGTGTTAGGTTCTCAACGTCATATGGTGGTGTGCTTCTGACTACTTTATGGGATCGAAAAAATGGCTCGAATTAATGCTTGTGGATCAAAATCATCCGAAAAAACCATGTTTGGCGCTTTCTATTACTTGAATACTAAAACGACTGATTTTCAAGAGAAATTCTTCAGGCTGCAATACAATTCCCATTCGACTTGCAACTTGCCAGCAGGAAAAAAATTCCTATCTTATGAATCTCAACATAGTCTTATTAGAGCTTTCTCAAGTCACCATTACATAGAGCTAGTTGCCTTCTCTCGTACACTGAATGAATATTGGCCACTTTGCAACTACGCTGCAGCCAATACGGGTGTAATTCTGAGAACGGTTCATTCCTGACTGGACTTCCGGGTAGAATTGTCGGACTCAGCTGGAAGAAGTTGGCTGGGTAATGAAACCTACGTACCTAACAGTTCCAAAAGTATAAAACTACTCAACTATCCAACTCCTTTCAAGCTACGATAAGACGGTAATCCATGAGACTAGGCAATAACAAACACCAGTAATTTGAAAAAATTGAAACAAGATAAAACTTAATGCAAAACCTTGCAGTTTTCACTGAGAAGATAAACTTCGGGAATAACCCCATTCGATGGTTCAAGCTGGGAGCAGAGTGTTAAAAGTTGAGATCCCAATGGTGCCACATCGGACTGAATACAAACGAAATTTTCCAAAAAAAAAAAAGCCAAAACCAGTACTTGATGTAATAAAAACGGGGAGATGTAACACGAAAATTTGATACGTGGAGTTTCAAACAACTTTGTCTCGTTACGGCCTGATGATTTCGAAGCATAGAGGTAACTAAACAGAAAAAGTTTACCTTTAAAGATCCCCTCGTAGATAGAGAGAGACCACTTGCATCCGAGACGCAAACACCGAGAGTGCCTGGTCGTCCCATGCTTTACCGGAGAAGATTAGCCATATAACACTCCATAAGTATAGAAAGACGAGACAAAGAATTGAAACTTACAGGTGGTCAACTCTGTTTTCCATCGACAACTCCATCATGTGGGCCTTTAAACAAAGATCGATTAGGAAAGCACGAAGCAATAAAGTGATGAAAAAATTGAGCAAGAAAACTTCTATGACGCCACGTTTGGAAAGACGCTTCAAATATCCATGTTTCTGGATTCTAATGTCACGATGATCAATCAATGAAAACAAAAATTCCTTAATGCATGAAGCAATCGCAATCATTTGGAGTCTAAAACACAACGATGTGAAGAGAAACAAGAAATTCTTACGACCGACTTTACAATAACATTGGCATTGATCGAACAATTCTTTGTATTCTTATTGAGCAAACACGAGGTGTTATTTTATTTGTTTCTTTACGAAGAAGCTGACGTTTCGGTGGATTTCGCTCTCTTTAGGGCCTGGAAAGGTCAAGTTGACCGCCCAACCAAGCACCTCCATAACCAAACAGAGAAAATTACAAACCAAGATTTCAATCATATTGAGCACAAAATACCTTCTTGAGCGTTCCCTATTGGTTAAGGATTTGTTTGGCTGGATGAAATCCGCCGAGACGTCAGCTTTTCCGTAAATACACAAATAAAATAACATCTCGTGTTAACTAAACAAGGAAATAAAGAATTTCACAAACAAGAAAAATTGCACGAAAGCAGGATCAACTCATAATTTACGTGTTTGGCATGAAAACCTAAAACAGGAGAGAGAGAACGGCACTTATGAAGCAGACAGGTGCAAACGACATTGGCTGAACTAGACGATATAGTAAGAATGATTACACTGAAGGTTAAAGGAACATATTACTGGAGAAATTTACGGCTTACTTTTAAAGAATGACTACTTAGAATAATAAAAATACACAGTTCTTCTAATTACAGTCGGCCATGAAGTGAGAACGTTCCAGGCTAAACTCAATGACAGAAAATAATTCATACCAATGATGGGGAAAAAACGTTTGGAAGACGTAAATTCAGATCATCTGTCTGCAGCCACAGACTTCCTTCGCTATCGTTTCGAATAATTTGCATATACATGGTTCATCGTAAATATAAAAGCAAAAAGCTTTGTGGAGTCCCACACGTTGGAACTGACAAAATTGAGGTGCTTGGACGGAATTCTGAAAGAAGGAACTTTTTCTTGATTTCGTGCAAAGGACGGCTTTTCTTTGAAATGGCACATTCATACCCTCCTCGTACGGGAGTCATTCCCTCAACAAAAATGTCTACATCTTATTACTCGACTCAATTTCAGGCCTTCATGGATGCTTCCAAGGAGTCAGGTGAGAAGTCAATAGATTTCTGTTTCATGGTTTCAGGTTGAGAGAAAGGACGTGAAGAGCTGAGAGTGCGTGGAAAATCACCTCGGCGACATCTATTGACTGTTTTTCATTCATAATAAGTGAAGAGCGACCAGTTTCTAGCAACATTATCAGATTTTCGGCACGTTGTCGTGTCAATGGTATTCTTCGACAGGCTGGTCGACGACCACACCGATTGTCTTCTCAGGTCTCAGGGACGACTTGCAGGTCCTCAGTTGGGGCCAGCCAGTATGCTGTTTCGTGTCGATTGAATTCCACTGTAGCTCTAGGGTGTCTGTTCCGTTTTTGCCCTTCCGCATCTCCACGTTTACTTCCTAAAAGCTCCTCCAATATTTTTCACCTAATGTTAACATTTTATTTACTGCCTGCTACATTTTTCAAGGTATTACGGCAAGGTATTCCGTGAAGTATAACTACAATGATGATTTTATTTATAATGGCGAAGTAAGTAAATGGTCAGCATTGTGATCTCGACTACATCCGGCGCTTAAGTGGATTGAGTGCCGACGTGGGCTCCCCAGATCAGTCGCGTTGAGGGGTGATTGCTGATGCCTCCGTTAGGTAAAAAAAAAACTAGCTGAGAGAAAGGCAAAACGAAGGACCCGCACCGTGGGGTGGTGAACATGTTAGTCCCCGGGAAGGTTAATAGCGAATTCGATCCCCACCGTAGGCACCTGCGGTCCGGAGTTTTGCAAATATCTCCCCATTATTGCGGTTGTATTTTTTATTTATTTATTACATGACGAGGCATCGCATTTATAATAACGCGGAAACCAGCACTTCTTGCATTCGATTCGTTTCCTCTCATTCGTCATCCACAAGGATCTTCGAACTTTTCGCGTGGAGGTTTGGCTTCTTTATGAATGTGATTACATGTTGAACGAGCCGATTCTCTCTAGAATCCTAGGATAGCCGTCATGGAGCGTTTCCACATGAAGTGGGGCAGCAAGCTCATTTGCTACAACTCTGATACCAATATGCCAACTCTGGAGGGATGGGAGACCGTGGGCCTGGGAGAGGTCGAACAAGCGCTTAGGTAGGTTGGGCCGCCCATATAATGAATAGGATCACTGCCAGTGTGCTACACGCTGCCTAGATTAAGTATAACTTCCATTAGAAGAATAATCGTGACCATGTGCACTGATTTCAATGCACATGTAGATAAGCATTTCAGTAATAACTATACATTACAATGTATTTTCTTTTCGACTGTTCTTTCCGCCTTTTTCACATTTCTTTTCTGTAAATTTTGTATCACCATGATTCGAGAAAAGCTGCGATTTAAAGAACATAATTTACAGGAACTATAATCGGCACGAGTTTGTTTGTCTTCATGAGTGACTTTCTGTGCAGATGAACTAACGCTATACTGTTGCTGATGAGTGCTAAAACGTCCCTACTCTGTACACATTTTGGACGGTATGAATTGGGTTAAATGCATACTGACAGCAGTGATAATTTAGGCGTTTGCCTAACTTTAGATGTTCTTGCGAGCCCGTTAGAAGGATCAAAACCAATTTTATCGTTTTCAAAGAAATTCCTACGAAAACTTTATGATTCGGAGTCTTAATCGTTGCAATGACAAATATATTTTAAAACACACACGTTTGTTTTCAATATTAAATTTTTCTGACAGGTTCGTCCACCCATTCTCTCCAGAATGCTGTTCATCTCGATGGAAAGATGTTTTCTCGTAAGAGAAGATGACCTTCAGTTGATGCAAATCAACTGAACTACGGAAATGTTTTAGGCACGTGTTGTTGAAACAATCAGCAAAGCCACTGTTAGTGTAGAACAAATTGGTCATCTCTTCGACTTTCCATGTGAAATTTATTTAAATTTTCTTAAACAGATAGATGTCTGCGCGAAGTTTTTAAGGGTCTGTCGAAGTTTTCGAACGAAGTGGTTAAGCTGAATGTTAAGGTCCGGACAGTACAATAAAACTCTAAGTAGATTTCAGTCGAGTATTACTTATTAGGGCTCGGCAGCGCATCGCTAATGGTGCCGTCCATCACAAGCACGGTGCTTGTGAGTCTCCACCTCAGGCCCACTAAGCCTGTCATCGCTCCGAGTTTGGGAAATTGGTACCAGACTTCTCTTGGCTGATCACACTTCATGCAATCTTACTAAGAGCGCTTCGCTCCAGTTATCTAAGGACTCCAAGGTGAGTCGTCTCGACCAACATTCAACGGCACTCGTTACAAAAGAAAAGTCCTCCGGTAAGAGCTGAACCCACATGCGAAAATCCCGAAGACGTTTATGGATGATGGATGCGAGGAAATGAATCGAATGCAAGTACTGAGATCCGCACAGGGAATATGAAGAAAGGTTATGCAAAATAACAAGAAAGCAAAAGTAATGTGCATGGCATATGTCCAAGTTACTCAGGAACCTCTTTTCTCGCAAGAAAATTCTTGTTTTGAGTTTAAACGAGATGTTCTGCACTTCATTTCGTACGTGAGGTGCTCTTAGAGAAGTTACTCAGCTTCGTTCTTAACCTACCGTAACAGCGTCAATGAGGTAATCTTTTTATTTAATTTTTTCTCCCTAATGAATTACAAACTTAGACCTTCTACTATTACGAATTATAAGCATTTAATTAATGTTTGCAGAAGAGAGAGAAAGAAAACTGACTCTCTTATTTTTATGTGCATTCCCAACCAAAGTTCATACTCAACTTTACTTTCGACTTCCATTACAGGACATTCAGCTAAACCACTTCTAATGCCGTTAGTAAGCGAGTAACTGAAGCAGGCACTCTGTTGATTCTCATGGAGCATCAGAACATCAATGTGTCAAAAAACGCGAAAAACGTCATGCTTTTTATATGGTCTAGTCCTGCTTTATTTTTTGACAAGAACACAGCCATGAGCAGGTCGCAGGATTCTGCTATGGCAGAGATTTATCCTTGCTGGGTTTTCGGATGGAAACGCGGAACATTTTCTCAACTTAGCAAACGCTGGTGAATGGATGCACCTCGCTCTAGTGAACACTTTTCGGTACTGAGGACTGACGTCTATCCACCAGGCGGTAAACCATTGATAAATTAACGTATAACTCCTTTATTTACTGCCCACAATTTTTATGGCAAGGTATTGTGTGAAATACAACCACAACGATGCTGAGATATCTGTAGAAACTCAGAGTTTGGACCAGATACGAACCAAGACTAATACGATTAATCTTTAGTGGCTCACATGTTATCGCTACTCCACTGAAGCTCTCATCCTGCCTTTTTCTCAACTAGTTTTTTAGTCTACAGCGCCTTGCCATAAGCAATCACCCATGAACTAGACTGATCTGAGGAGGATAAATCGACATTGAACCCATTTAAGCTGGGCCTGTAATCGAAATGACAATGTATGGCTTTTTTAAAATGGTTGAGAGAAAGGTAAAACGAGAACTCCAGTGGTGCAGTGGGTAACACGTGAGCAGCACCCCAGGAATGGTAGTCACGAGTTCGAATCGCTCTTAGGTCTGAGTTTTGCAAATATCTCGACATCATTGTGCTTGTATTTCACATTGACGCATTGCTATTGACCGATTTGCAGAATGTAACGTAGTTCTGAAAAAGTTTCAGAAGCCAGACAGAAGAAGTTTTCTTTTCA